TGATCCTGCTCTCTCGCGCGAGGCCGCCCGCGATGCTGCGCTTTCTCTCCTCCGTGAGACCTGCCCATACTACGGCGCTTGTTTGTACTCGGCGGTGGGGCTGGAGCGGAACAAGGCCAACAAACGGGCCCGGATCGTCGGCAACGTCGTCGTCGCCATCACCGAGACCGCCATCCATGTGCTCCCGGCCGACGTCTCAGCCCGCGCCAAGCCGCTTGTCTCGATGGACCGCGGCGACCCGGGCTTTTCCTTCCGCGAGGTCAACACCGCGACCGACGGCTCGGTGCTCGAGTTTCACTCCAAGGATCCAAAGCGCGACGAGCACCGCACGTTTGAGCTCGCCTCGCTGGAGACTGGCCTCATTGTGACTCATCTCAAGCACGCCGACACGCCGATGCTGATGAACGTCTCCAAGTTTGTGGACGAGCTCCTGCATCTGATGACCCTGGAGGACTACAACGAGGGCGAGTATGTGGTCCGCGCTGGTGACCCCGGGCGGTGCATGTACTTTGTCTCGGCTGGTACGATCGAAATCGAGATTCCGGCCGCCTCTGGCGAGGTCAAGACCGTCACGCTCCGCGAGGGCTCGTACTTTGGCGAGATTGCGCTCTTCCTCTCCAAGACCGGCAAGCGGACGGCGTCGGTCCGCGCCGCTACCCCAGTCCAGCTCCTGGTCCTCACCAAGGAGACGTGCAACTCTGTCCTGCACCGCTTTCCTCACATGGAAAAAGCCTTCCGCGAGCTTGGCTCGGCCCGCCTACGCAACAACGACGAGTCGTCTGGCGGCGGCAAGGGCAAGGGCCGCCGGTCAGCCGCCTCGGCTGCTACCCCGTCGTGGATGAAGCGCATCTCGGGCAAGGTGACTAAGCGCAGGGTCACCCTCGGCGCGCCGGCCTCGGGCCCCGCCGTCCGCTCTAAGACCTCGCAGAAGCCGCGCTTCATGGAGGTTCCGCAAGAGCCCTCGCTCCCTCTGCCGGGCGCGCCTGACGAGGCTGCGCTGCCGCCGATTCTCGATGCCGGCTCGTGGGACGCTGACGCGCCGGCGAGGGTCTTTGCCCCGCTCTCGGACCCGGCCGTCCTTGCTGTCGAGGACACAGTGGCAGAGACCAACTGGTTTGCCCGCATCTTTTGCGACCAGGCATACTCGTTGTTTATGGCCAAGATTGACGAGCGGGTTGTCCTCGTCACCATCTTTGTCTCGCGGCCGCCGGGTCTCACGCCCGGTGCCGACGCCGACGTTCTTGCCTCGCTCGGGCCCGAGTCGGAGCTGTACGCTTCGTCGACCGCTGCAAGAAACACCTCTATCGGCGTCCTTGACCTGCCGCTGCCCAAGGCCACCGATGACAGTGAGGGCAGTGCCGTTGCCGGAAGCAGCAGCAACGGCGGCGGTGGTGGCGACGACGAGTCTAGCTCGGATGCAGCCGACGGTGAAGGTGCCAATCTGAGCCGGAGGAGGTCGTCGACGCTGGTGCTCTCGCCCGAGGACGAGGCGACGCGCAACTTGGCGCAGGTTCGCCAGCTCTACTGGGTCATGGTGTGGGAGAAGAAGAGCGTCCGGCGGTGGGTGCTCGAGTCCGAGTCGAAAATGAGCTTTGGTCAGGTGCTGGGCTCGGTAGATCCTGGCCTCGGCGCATCGGCTAAGAACTTCCGCAAGGTTGAGGCGGTGAGCTACGAAATGGAGCGTGCACTGTGCACCATCGAGAACGGCGAGCCAGAGCTTAACTTCAAGCTGGGAGTTCTCTACGCTCGCGAGGGTCAGGTCGATGAGAATGACATGTTTGGCAACAAGGACGGCTCTCCGGCGTTTCGCGAGTTTCTGGAGCAGATCGGCGAGCGAGTCCGGCTCAAGGGTTACTCGGGCTACTGCGCCCAGCTGGACACCAAGTACGACAAGTCTGGCCTTCACTCGTACCGGACGAGCGCCGGCGGGTACGAGGTCATGTTTCACGTCTCGACCGAGCTTCAGTACGACCCGACGGACGACCAGTACATCCAGCGGAAGCGGTTCATTGGCAACGACATTGTCGTCATTGTGTTTGTGGACGGGCCGACAACGTACGCCACGCAGACCATGAAGTCGCAGTACACCAACATCCTGGTGGTGGTCACGCCGGATCCGACCGACTCGTCGCGATACCGGGTGGCAGTCACCCGCCAGCGCGGGCTCCGCCGCTTTGGCCCGCTCCCGGCGCGGTACTACCGCAAGGGCGACGGCAGCTTTGCCAAGTGGCTCCTCACCACCTGTCTCAATGGCGAGCACGCGACGTATGTCTCGCCCGAGTTTTTGGTCCGCGACCGGCGGACCCGCAACAATCTGCTCAACGACTTTTATGACGCGCACTGGAGCACTGGAGCCAAGAAGCGCACAACCTGACGCTGACTCTGGCGCCAGGGTCGACGACTGCCGCCCCTGCGCTGTTCTCGGCTATTCCGCTCGCCGACCCGCAGGTCTTTGCTCCGGCCCTAGTCTCGATTGAGAGCCTGCTGAGCCAGCCGGCGGCAGTCTGCACCATGGCAAGCGCGCTCTTCATCGGAACGCGTGACGGGCTGTACGCCTCGCGGGCGCTGCGGAACATGCCGCACGCCGCGTTTGAGGACGAGATTGGCGCGGCGCGGGCGGCGCTCGAGACCGCGAGCAGGAGCGGTGGAAGCTACGGTGCAGGCGCGGCGCCGCGGCGAGTTGCCTCGCTCGACCACATCATCAAGCTCAAGGCCGATTCGCGGCAGCACTCGCTGTTTGTTCTCACGGGCGGGGCGTCAGGTCGTCTCTTTGAGTTTTCGCTCACTGAGCTCCTTGCGGGCCTGCCGGCGGTGGTGACCATGATTCCCCACTCGCGCGGCGTCTCGACCTTTGACTGCGGCTGGGTTGGCGCCAAGTTCTTTGTCTGCGCCGCGTCGGACGATAAGGTCCTTGTGTACACTGTCCGGTCCGACGGCTCGTACCGCGAACAGGAGACGCTGGTGCTCCCGTCGCGGATCTCGGCCATCACACTCACTCAGTACGGCGTGCTGGTGGGGACGGAGGAGGTCGAGGCCACACCTGCGCAGGTCATGTTCTTCTCGTTTGAGGCCGAGCGGACGTTTCTCTACGATCCAGTGTACGTGGTGGACCGCCCAGGAGCCGACGCCGGGGCATCGTCATCGTCTACGGGTGCGGCAGGCGCGAGCACTGCGCCGCTGCTGCTGGCGTCGTCGACACTCACCGAGTCGTGGTCGGACCTGGTTGAGTTTCATGCGCCGGAGCGAGTCCTTGCCTCGCGGCCGATTGACATCCTAGTCACGCCGTACGGCGTCGTTCTCTGTTTTGCGCGGCTCGGCGTTTTGCTCACGCCCGACGGGCGGGTCGAGCACGAAATCGCGTGGTCGGGCGAAGCTGTGGCCTTTGCTGTGGCTGGCGCCTTTTTCGCCGTCTACTACCGCACCTTCCTCGAAGTCCGCACCCTCGCATCGGGCGCATTGGTCGAGACGCACTACGCGCGACTCGACGGCCGTTCTCGTGCTCGGGCGAGGCGCTGCTCTTCCTCGCCTCGGACACTGTCGACGGCGAGCTCCTCACTCCGGAGCTCTTCCATCTTCAGCCGGTGGTAGCGGTCAACTACTCGTCGCCAGAGGCCGAGGCTCTGGTCCGGCCGGCTCTCCAGGCCGAGGCGGCCGCAGGCGCGGCACCCGACGACGAGGTCAGCGGCAGTGGCGGCGACCTCGAGGCTTCGGCAGCGGTCGAGCCGTCGGGCGAGGCCGACGCTGTCGACGTTAACGCCCTCACCGCCATGTGGGAGACCAAGTTTGGTTCGTGAGCACGAGTAAATGCCGTCATGTGGCAGCAGCAGCAGCATAGGCCGAGGCGTAGCGTGAGAGAGTCGACTCGACTCGCGAGGCCGCGACGGCCGACGACGCAGCCTCGGCGGCCTCGAGCGGGCGGAGGACGCCGGCAACTTCGGCCGAGAGCACGTGGTCGACGCCGAGAAGCTCGATGCGGGTGGCGGCGACAGCGCGGAAGAGGGCGATGGCCTTGGCGCGGCGGCGGGTGGCGAGGAGGACGAGGCCCATGTGCATCGCGGCGTCAGCGCGTTGGAGGCGTGCGGCAGGCTCAGTCGCGCCCTTGAGCATGGCGTGGACAGCGCGGAAGGCGGCAAAGGCGTCCTCGTAAGCGCCTGCGTCGGCGTGGATGAGGCCCGCGTTGTGGAGGGCGGCGCGGAGGGTCTCGGGCGTAGCGCCGTCGGCCATGGCGCGCTCGTAGTGGGCGAGTGCCTTGTTGGCGTCGCCGGCCGTGTCGGCGAGGACGCCAGCAAGTAGGTGGGCATCGGCAAGGGTGGCGCTGTTCGGCGCAAAAACTGAACCGAGGATGCGGAGGGCTGCGGCGACGCGTGAGGTGGCCTTGTGCAGAGCTGGCGGACGGGCGGGCCCAGTGGCGGTGTAGTCGGAAGTGCCGGCGGCGGGCAGATCGACCAACAGCGCCGTGTTGAGCAGGAAAGGGACGCGAGCCAGAGCATCTGCGGCGTCCGCCGAAGCTACCAACCGCGACCCGGCCGCCAGGAGGGCGGCCATACCCTCGTCGTCGCCGTCGGCCTCGGCAACGAGGGCGAGAACGAGGAAAAGGCCGGCGACGACTCGCGGCGGCAACGGATCGGCGGCGTCGGCCAGCGCCTCAGCACGGAGGGCGGCGGCGCGAGACGCATCGACGGCACCCGTGAGGAACCGGGCGAGGGCGAGCTCGGTGAGGACAAAGACGCAGGCGGCGTCGACAGCCGCGGTGCCCGACGACGGCGGGCCTGTCGGCGCGGCGCCGGTCAGCGCGCCCGGCGCCAGACCGTAGCGGGCCTCCACAGCAGCCGCCAGAGTCTCAACCATCTCCAACGAGGCAAGGTAGTCGCCTGCGGCCCGGGCCTTGCGCGCCGAGCCCAGGAGCGCCCGCGTAGTTAGGGCCGGCCGGCGCTTGGCGCGCTTTCCCCCGCGCGACGGCGCACGGTGTCTGGGGCGGGCTTCCATGGCAGTGCGAGTGTGTGGCGTGTGGAAAAGGGAGAGTGAGGGGTGTGAGGGGTATGTGCGTGTGTGTGTGTGTGTGTGCGTGTGTGTGTGTGTGTGTGTGTGTGTGTGAGCGTGTGGTGTGGTGTGGTGTGTGCGTGTTCGTGTGCGGTGGCTGCTGCCTGGCAACCGAGTCCCTCTCATGGTTGTGGTGGTCGATGGCACTCGATTAGCCCCCCCCCCCC